AGGAGGAGGAGGAGGAGGAGGAGGAGGAGGCAGGATCCGTCAGCATATCGCGTCGGGACGCCGGGTCGGATCGGGCCGTGCGTCGGATCGGCCCGAATCGGCGGCGCCGTGCCAAGCGTCGGGCCGCGTCGGGTCTGCGCAGGACCGGATCTATCGAGCCGGACCGAGGCGGCCGGAATCGACGTGGAAGCAGGCCGCCGATCGGACCGACGTGGGCCCTGGAAGGCGGGCGCCAGCGGCGGCCCCCCAGGGACCTGGTCGGGCGACGGGGCGGGGTAACTCCGGGCGGGCTTCGAGAGCAACGTCTCACGCGGCTGCTCTCTCTGGTGTCTCCCAGCGTTGGAGGCGCGAGGCGCTGGTGCATCGAGGAGGGCAGCCGGCGGCGGGGCCGAAATCGGGGATCAGCTGAATGCAGCAGATTCTGTGCACCTCCTTTCACTATTCTCTCCTTTATTGCGACCCGATCTCGTCTTTCGAATCTCCTCCTCCTCCTCCTCCTCCTCCACTTCGACCGGGCCCCTATCTAACCTGGAAGGGTCCTTAGCTTAATGCCCCCTCTGTTCCTCTCGGCGGCGAACAAAGCTGGTCCCCCCTCCTCCTCCTCCTCCTCCTCCTCCTCGTCCTCCTTCTCCTCCTCCGTTGCGCCTCCCCCTCCTACTCCTCCTCCTCCTCCTCCTCCTCCTACTCCTCCTCCCCTCCTCCTCCCTTCCTCCTCCTCCTCCCTCCTGCCTGCCTCCTCCTCCTCCTCCTCCTCCTCCCCTCCTCCTCCTCGTGGGACACTGGCAGCCCGGCCCTCCTACACGTCGCGGGCTCTCGCGGCCCCCGGCACGCCTCTCGCGGCCGCCCCCCCCCCGCCCTGCCGGGCCACGGCCCGCCCGGCGCCCGCCCGCCCGAGGCCGGCCCGCACCAGGCCCGCCCGCCGGCTCGTGTGTCCCCCCTTCCCTCCCTCCTCCTCCCTCCACCCTCTCCTTTCTCAGCCCTTCCTCCCCCCCCCCTCTCCCTCGTCTCCGCCCCTCCCTCCTCCCCCTCCCCCTTCCTCCTCCTCCCTCCTCCCTTCCCCCTCCCCCTTCTCCCTCCTCCCTCCTCCCTGCCTCGCTTGCGCGATCAGAGAGGGCCCCCGGAGTCGTCTCCCCCTTTCCCCGACGGGGCACCGCGCGGAGGCCCGCCGCCGGGCTCCGCCGCCGACCCCCCTGGGCCGAGCAACGCATGACGGGAGGTTTCCTTGCGCGGGGCCCCTCGTGGGGCTTCCGCGCCGGCCACTGGGGCGAGCGTGGAGGACCATGGGCGCCGTGGCTGCAGGAGCTCCGGGGGGGGGGAAGAGGCATCGCGCTCAGGCCCCCTCGGGCAATGAGAAACCATCATGGCGGGAGGTCTGTGGCCATGTTCGGCCTCTGGTCTTTTGCTGTGTTCGGCCTCTGGGGGCCCTCGCCGGCCCTCGGGGCCGTCAAAGAACGACTCGGGATGAAGAGCCGGTACAGGGGAGGTTTTCTCCTATGTTCGGCCTCTGGGGGCCCTCGCCGGCTCTCGGGGGCCGTCGAGAAACGGCTCGGGATGAAGAGCCAGTCTGGGGGGAATGGGCCGAGACCTCCAGGGGTCGACGCAATGAACAAATCATGGCGTCGGGGGCCTAAGCCTGGCCCCCCCTCCTGCCGGCCCCTCTTGTGCTCCATCCTCGGCGGCAGCCCAATGAGAGCCTCCCACACCATCTTGTCGGCTCTTGCGAGTCGGCGCTGCTCGACGCTGAATCGACGCTAAATCGACGCTAAATCGGCGCCATTTAATCGACTTCGGACGCGAACCGACGCTAGAGACGGAATTCAGAGGGTACACGGGGCTTCCATGATTTGCTACCGAACTCCATCCTTCTCTCTCCCCTTTGTCCCTTCCCTCCTCCCTTCCCCCCTTCCTTTTCCTGGCGGGCGGGCGTCGTGCTGCCCGCCCGTCAGGGTCGGCCCGCTCGTCAGGGTCTGGTCCTGCCGCTTGTTTGTATGGTCCTGGCCCCCCTCCTGCTACAGTTGGACCAAGGCCACAAGAACATCCCTCAAGAACATGAGACCCTCTGTCGGGCAAAACAAGCAGAACATCCAGGGGCACCCTCCCCAGGATGCACCAGGACATTCAACAAGCACGAAGTACTCCAGGGTGACCGTCCCCGAACCAACCTCGATCTTAGAGTCGTCGGTCTCTCCCCTTTGTCCCTTCCCTCCTCCCTTCCCCTGGTCCAGGGGCAGCGCCAACTACACGTGGCAGGCACGGAAGACAGACCACCAGGGAGGGCATGACGGAAGGCGAAACGGCTGGGTTTCGGGGGCTCGGGAGCCACACGCTGCAGAGCACGGGGGCAGATCGGAACGAGCAGTCTCCGAATCACGGAGGCGGTGGCGGTCCGTCCTCCTCCGCGCACCCTCCTCCTGGTCCTCGCCGTCCCCCGCCGCAGCCTCCTCCTCCCCCCCCGCGCGCACCCCCGCCCGCACTTTCTTAGGGGGCCACATGCGAACCCTACCCCTACCCCCCACGATTTCCGAGGGGGAGGGTGGGGTTCACTTCACTCGGGAGCTCCCGAACGAAGTGAACCCCACCCTCCCCCTCAGAAATCGTGGGGGGCAGGGGTTGGGTTCGCATGTGGCCCCCGATTTCTGCCCGCGCTCCTCCTCCAGCCGGGCCAGACGCCACCGCCGAAGGCCCTCGGAAGATCCTCGCACGCCGCGCGGCGACAGCACGAGAGAAAGGGAGAGAGGCGGGGCCGAGGCCTCTGGGCGCGTCGGGCCCCGCATGGACCTCCAGAGTTCGTTTTGTTTCTCGTTGTGCTCTACGCGTCGTTCATTTCCAATCGTGCTCATTTCTGATTGAGCTCGTTTCTAATTGTTCCTGGCCCCCCAGGGGCCAGGAAGAGGCCCAGGATAGAACAATCAGAAACGAAATGATATTGGCCCCCCCAAAAAACCAAAGAACGTTCGAAATAATTGGAAATGAGCAATGGGTACCTGTTTTCCTGTACACCCTGCCAAAACGAAGAACAAAACACAGCCGAAGTCCAGTAAAACAGCGTTTAGGCCTGGCCCTGCTGGACGCCTTCGAGAGCCGCCGGAGGACTCCGGGAACCTCGGAGGCCTCCGAGGAGGAGGGAACGAGGCGGGGCTGGAGACATCACCAGCTCATCGGCCCGAGTCGCCAACTAGGGTGCCTCGTCTGAAAAGGAAGGTGAAGCTAAAACGCACTCTGCCCGGCTCGGGCCACAGGGAGGAAGGCACTAGAACGCTGGCTTAGCCAAGCTTGGCCTTTGGCAAAATCGTGGCGACGCTAATATTAAAAATGCAGTTGGGCGCACATCAACTAGCGTGCGGATTCATGGCACACGCCAAGCGTGTCCTCGTGCGCCCAAGAGCAGCTGCAACAAATACACGCAGCGGCAACAACGGGAACAAACAACAAACACATCACCAACATGCGGAGGCAAACGGCAGCCTGGCAATCCGTGTCGCTGGCCGCGCGTTGGCGTCGCTATAATTACATTTGGTGATGCGAGGTCTAAGTACCGCGAACAGAAATAAAACCAAGGCACGCCGGATGTTGGCCAGAACTCCACTCTAGGTAAAATGTTTGATCATCTAGTTGCACCTCTCAAAGACAGCCAACTCTCCGTGTTTCCAGGACTCCACTGCTGGGCCTGATTCTGCTCGGGTGCAACCCTCCAGGGGGGCCGCTTGTCGTGCCGCCAGATCTCCACTCCAAGGGCTGTCCCTGACTATCAGAAGCCCCCCCCCACCACCCCAGCGTTGGTTCTCATCGTGTTTCCGCATATTTTCCAAACGCCACTCCCGGACCTGAGAATCCTCAACGTCCAGAGCCACACCTCCAGCGTTTGGTGCATTTCATGCCGCCAGAACTTCACTCCTGGGCCTGTTTTTGATCATCGAGACGAACCCTCCAGCGTGTGGTGCTCTTCCTGCTCTCATTCTACAGCTTCAGATCCAGTCCAGCTCGAGCTCGAGGTCAGGCACATCTCGAGCTTCGCTTCAGCTCCAGCCCTAGGCCCCAGCTCCAGTCCCAGTTCCAGCTCAGAACAGCTCTAGCTCCAGACCAGCTTCAGCTCCAGCTCATTCCAGCACAAGCTCCAGCTCTAGCCCAGCTCCAACTGCTGGACAGCTCCAACTCCAGCCCAGCTCCAGATCCAGCGTAAGCCCCAGCAGCAGCCCAACTCATGCCCAGCTCGAGCTCCAGGTTCAACCTAGGCTCAGCTGCAGATCCAGCTCCAGCTCCTGCTCCAGCTTCACTCCAGCCCCAGCTCCATCTCGAATTCCAGCTCCAGCCCCAGCTGCGCTTCCAGCCCCAGTCCTACCTCCAACCCCAGCCCACCTCCAGCATAGGCGTCGCTCCAGCCCCAGCTCCAGCCGAGCTCCTGCCCAACTCAAACTCGAGCACAGCCCAGAATCAGCTCAAGCTCAACTCCAGCTCCAGCGTCAGCCCAGAGCCTAAGCTCCGGTTCTGGCTTCAGCTCCAGCTCCAGCCCAGCTCCAGCTCGAGCCTTGCGCTTTCGAATATCATGCTGTTCAGGTTCTGCCTGTTGTCGATATCGTATGTCCTAAGTTAACGAGATCGACTTCGCAGCAGCTGAGATCGCCCAGGCCATATCTAGAACCCCAAATTGCATATCCCAAGGTGCATATCACAAGTGGCAGGCATCAACACATAACATCGCACAACAATGCTCGCGAACATACACACACACACATCACACACACACACACACCTGAATAAGCACAACGTGTGTTCGTTCTCGTGCGGTTTCCACGATCGCTTCCAGACATTGGCCTGCACATCAGCACACGCATTTCTCGAGAGCCCATGCTTCGCACTCGTTCTGGGGTCATGCCTCGTGGCGCCGGCCGTGCGGGTCGGGCAGCACAACTGGACCTCCAGACCCGTCGTGAGCTCCGCCCTGGCCAGACAACTCGACGCAGGCCCAGCCGCGGCCACGAGGGCGCTCTGGGGTGCCCCGCAAAAACACCGACGGAGGCGCCCGGGAAGAGCACGTGGAGCGACCTGCTCAAGCCGCGGAGGCGCGCGCGGCGGCGCATCTGGACAGCCAGCGATTACAACGGTCCCCCGCCTGGCAGCTCGCTGCCGCGCTCGAGGCCCGCGCCAGCGACGGGCGACGAGGGGGGCAACGTTCTTGGGGGCGGGGGGGGGGGTCGGGCGGCCCGGGGAGGCAAACGCCGAGATGGAATCGGCGTTGCATCGCTGCTGTATCGGCGGTGCAGTGAAAATCCGCTGTGAGGATGCAAGGTGAGGATGCAAGACCTTGGGATAAGTTCTGTCCACCATTTGGGGCTCTTTGGACGTCAACACTGGCTCGGGATGGGCCGCAGCGCATCCTTGCTATGGTCAGGTCGGGCATGTCCTCCTTCAGGCCGATTTGGGAGGAAAAATACAAGAGATTCGAACAAGACTCGAAACTACTCACAAATCATAGAAGAATGGTCCCCAGACTATTTTCTTGTCTTTTCGTGTCTATCTTGGAGCAGTCCTCCTGCAGAGGGACGTGTCCGACCTAATCCATGCTCTGGATTTGGGCTGCGGGCCCCCGATCGCAGGTTCGCAGGCTCCGGGGCGGGGGTGGGGCCGTCCGGCCCCCCCTCGGCGATCAAAGGGGCCACCATGGGGGCGGCCGCACCTCCCCCCTTTGAGCATCTCCGGGGTCACGAGAAGGGCGGGATGGCAAAGTGTAGGGTTACGTCGGGCGTGTCCCCCTACCCCCTACAGGGGGACTTTCGACGAGAAATAAAAAAAACTCAAAAAATACCCCCAAGTGGTCAACAAACATACTCAAAAAGTAGTCCCCTGACTATATTTGGACTATTTATGAATATTCCCCCTGTAGAAGGACAGGCACGACTTAAGGGTAGGGTAGATTAATCGGCTGACGTAGCTGACTTTCCCAGCGCCTCCCGGCGCCGGGAGGCGCCCATGTGTCGAGGGGTGGGCCCGGCGGCGGGGCCGAAACCAGCTGCGTGCAGCAGATTTCGTGACTGCCCCTTTCCCTATTCCCCCCCTTTTCGTTCGGCCCGTGCACCTTTGTTGATCTGGGGCGCACACGGACACGCTAGTAGTGTGCGTCCTCCCTGGAGGCGTACGCCCGACCCCAGCATACAGCAGGGCTGGACCTGAACGTTGTTTTTCGTTCTGTGCTCGTTTCGTGTGTCTCGTTTTGCTCTACCTGTTTTCCTGTACCTCCCTCCCAAAAAGAAAAACAACACTCAACCGAAGTCCAGCAGACCATCGTCCAGGTCCAGCCCTGATACACTAGATCCTTCCCCGAACGATCTGGCCAGAAAGCACCCGCCGCGGAGATTCTGGTGTATAAGATTTCCCGGCGCGCGCGCGCGTCGCCCACGCGGCGGCGGCGCACGCACAATATTGGCATCTTGGGGTGACGCCGATGAGATGCGATCGCACTGCCCGGCGGCCAGGCAGCCCTCGCCACGCTCCCAGGGCGGCTCACACAGGTCCCCCGAGCCCCCGGGGAGCAGCCGGGGACCCGCGGCGCCTGCCCCGCCGCCGCGGAGCCCTCCATGCAGGGCCCCGACCTGGGCCCATCCCCCCCCCTAACTCTGTTGCTCGCGGAGACGCACGACGTCAGACTCGGGCCCCGGGGGCTCGGGCTGGCCCGACGGGGCCATCGCCCGTTGGAAAAGGTGCCGCGAGCTCCCGCCAGCTTCAAGCGCCCCACGAAGCCTGCACCGTCAGCGACGCGCTCGTCAAGCAGCGCCGGCAAGCTCGCGTTACCCCCGCGCGGCCCCACCCCCGGACTACAGGTACCCCCCCCCGGACTACAGGTACCCCTTCCCTGGACTACAGGTGCCACCCCCCGGACTGCTGGTACCCCCCCACCGGACTACAGGTACCCACCCCGGACTACAGGTACCCCCAGAACTATTGAGGGACACAGAGTATGCGCTTCCCTGAGCTGCCCCCCCGACCCAGAGGACGCGCGACATGCCGCCGCCGACCCAGAGGGCCGCGGAGCCCGACCACCACTGAGCCCTCCAGGGCGCCGACGCGGGCCCATCACCCCGAGGAGGAGGAGAGGGAGGAGGAGGGGGAGGAGGAGGAGGAGGAGGAGGAGGAGGAGGAGGAGGAGGAGGAGGAGGAGGAGAGGAGGGAGAAGGAGGAGGAGGAGGAGGAGGGCGGAGGAGGAGGAGGAGGACGAGGTGGAGGAGGAGGAGTGAGGAGGAGGAGGAGAGGAGGAGGAGGAGGGGAGGAGGAGGAGAGGGGAGGAAGGAGGAGGAGGAGGGGGAGGAAGAGGAGGAGGAGGAGGAGGAGGAGGAGGAGGAGAGGAGAGGAGAAGGAGGAGGAGGACGCGAGGAGGAGGAGGTGGGAGGAGGAGGAGAAGAGAAGGAGGAGAGGAGGAGGAGGAGGAAGGAGGAGTGAGGAGGAGGAGGAGGAGGAGGAGGAGGAGGAGGAGGAGGGCAGGGAGGAGGAGGGGAGGAGGAGGAGGAGGAGGGGGAGGAGGAGGAGGAGGAGGAGGAGGAGGAGGAGGAGGAGGAGGAGGAGAAGGAGGAGCAGGAAGAGGAGCACCAAGTGTTGCCCCTGAGCCGGAGGAAGGCGCGATGCCGCTGCCGACGAGGGGTGCCGAGGCCCGCCGAGGCGCCCATCGCCGCGGGTGGCTGCCGGCGGCCCCGTGCTCGGCATCACGCCGCGCGCCGCGCGCGGCCGGGCTGGCGAGGTGCTGCCGAAGGCCCCTCCTGGACGACGGAGACGTCGTCCACGGGCGCCCCACGACCAGAGCTGCGAGGCAGGGACTTATAACGAATGATTGATACGCATCCACCGGCCGGGAACCGGTGTCCTGGGACCGCCCAGGGGCGGTGGATGTGGACATGCTCAGGCGCCATGGGGCCCACGTACATCCACAGCCACGGCCCCCGAGGTCCGGGGACGTCGGACTCCTAGGCGGTCGGCATGGAGAGGCCCCAGCCTCGGACAGGCTGGCGACGCCCCTGCGACAGCCCGTGCGGCTTCGAGCGCCCAAGGCCGGAGCAGTCCATGCAGACCAGTCTGAGCGGCGAGGAGAGGAAAGGGCCCGCCGCACCAGGAGGCGGCGACCTCGCGCGAGGGCCCGCCGCAGGCCGCAAGCACGGCTCGCCGCGCGGACGAGACGGCGCCCGCGCGTGGCCTCCCGCGGGCAGCCTGCGCAGTCGGCCCCCCTACTGTCTCCGTCGCCCGCCTCGCGCTGAGGGCGAGGTCGCGACGTGCCACATCTTATGTGTCAGGCACCGCTGAGAGACGGCGTGCGCCGTGGGCGCCGTGCGCCGTGGGCGCGGCAGCGGTGCCCGCCTGCACGGCCCCCCCCCTCGTGCTCCGCAAGGGCCCCTCCTCCAGGCTCGGCCTCGCTGTACCTGCTGCTGGCCCACTGGCCCCCGGAGATGCCCACGGGTGCTGGTGGCCCCCGGGAAGATGGATGCACGTGCCTGTCGGCGGCTGCCGGGCAACCCTCCCACCCAGACCCCCGACGTCATGATTTTTTCATTACGTCGACCCCTGGGGGTCTCGACCCATCCCCCTGGACCGGTTGTTCATCCTGAGTCGTTTCGTGACGGTCCCGAGGGCGGCAAGGGCCCTCCGAGGCCGAAGATGGCAAACAGCCTCCTGTCGTGAAGTTCTCTCATTGCCCGAGGGGGTCTGGGAAGTCCGTTGGGCCGCCTCGGGCAGCACCGTGACGTCGGGAACGCACCCGCCAAAAGACCCCCGGGTCTTCGGGTCGTCGCTCGGGCCTCTGGCGGCCGTGGCGGACGATCTGGGCACCCCCGGGGGCGCCCTCGGCGAGGCGCGCGGCCGCTGGCGGGCGCCCCGAGGCGGGGAAAGCGCCGAGGGCCGACGAGGCCGCCAAGGAAACCTCGGCCCGAAGACTTCGCACCTCGAGCCGCGTGGAGCCCCCCATCGATGAAGCCCACGAGATCCCCGAGAGCTCACTGGGAGTGCCCACGCTCGCCTATGGTCCTCCCCCCCTTCTGCCACGCCCGAATCCGCCGACCCTTCGGCGCGTGTGAGACGCTATCGTCGTCTTCGTCGTCGGCGTCGTCTTCGTGGTCTTCGTGATCGTCGTCGTCGTCTCCGCCGCAAATCCCAAAAGATAAACGAACAGAGACAAGAGATTTCATAGCCAAGCTAAATCGATACCCTCCCGTTATTCCCTTCCCTGACGGGGGGGGGAACTACACTACGGGAGGGGGGTATAGAAAGGGGAGGGGGTCCCGGGTCAGATTATCACCCCCTCGCCCGGAGTGCCCCGCGGGTCTGCATGCAGGGGGGGGTCCCCCTGTTGACAGGGGGGCGAGGGACCCACCTCCTCCAGCGGGGGGGTCGCGAGAGGGGGTCCTGGGGGAGATCCCGCCTGAGGCGTGGGAGGGGGCAGCCGTGTCAGAATGCCGCCCCCCCCCCCTCTCCCCGGGGTGCTAGCAGGTCCTGGGCGGGCGCCAGCGGGGGTTCCAGGGCGGTCTCGCCTTCGGGGTACGCAAGGCCTTCATAACAATTGCCACACTCCGGGCACCTCCGGAAGCCTGGAACGCTTCCCCGGGACCGGTTTTTCATTCCGAGTGTTTTTGTTACGGTCGACCCGTCCCCCTGGGCCGCTCGCTCCATCTGCCCCCCTTTCGGCCGCGCTCTTCCCCGCTCCTCCTCCTGCATGGTGGCCCAATTCGCCCTATCGGCACCCCCGTTTAGGCCTCCCATCGCCAGCGCAGACGTCCCCTGCCTAGCCGCCGACGCAAAAAATGCTTGTGCTACGGTCGCAGAGCCCGACAAAGGGCCCCCAGAGGCCGAACACTGTCGAACACCTTCCGTCGCTAGTCCTTCACGACGCGAGGAAGACGGGCTGCAATGCCCCCCCCACCCCCCAACCATTTCCACGCCCTGGTAATTACCACCGAGAACGCGCAACACAAATCGTAACCGTGCGGGCAACAACCGATCACGGCTCTTGTGGCCAAGGCCACCCGAATCTAAAGCTCGTCAGGGTGCGGGCGGTGCGCAGGCGCGTCTTACCTGTCGCGCGCGCCGCGCCAGATCTATGGTTAGGTCGGGCATGTCCCCCTACACGCGGATTTGGGGCGAACGTTAGAAACTGGTCCAAGCAGATTCGAAAGCAGCAGAAAAGATAACAGAGACATCGCCCCCTGACGATTTGTTTTGACTCTGTTCGAATACTCCTCCTGCAGAGGGACATGCCCGACTTAGATCTGCGGCGCCGGTGCCCCCAACACCCCCCGAGGCGCCCGCGCGCGGGGAAGCGCGCCCCCCCCCCCGGGGGGGGCCCAAACCCGGGCCTCTGCCGCGCGAGGCCCCACAGTGCAGAGGGCAGCTCTCCGGACAGGGGCGCCCCCTCCAGGGGCGCTCCCTGCGAGCAGGGGCCGACCGTGCCGGCAATCCTGTAGTCCAACCACGAAACGTCCCTGGCAGCCAAGCACGTTCTGGGAACAGGAGCAGCGTTCTCAGAACATGCGCCCGATGTGATTAGAAGCAAGACCGTCCCAGCCAGAACTGCTCTGAGAACAAGCTGTGCGAACCACAGAACAGGTTCTTAGAACATTCTCTGGTGGGCCTACGGACGAGCCAGGACGCTTCGCCACTGCTTGATCCCTCCGAGGGCACAACGGGGAAGCGAGCAACGCGCGCGCGCGCGGAGAAGGAAAAACAGCACGCGCACGGAGGGCACCAGCGGCTCCCACTATGTCAGCCGAGCGAGGCCGAGAACAGCACAAGCACAGTCTTTCTCGGAGATCGGCGCAGGCTTCTTGGCTCGGCGCTGCCCTCCCTCCAGAAGTCTCAACCCCCGGCGCGCGGAACGCCGCCATCCCAGACCAGCTCGGGGTGCCTACGGGCTCCGCCCGCGTTTCTGTGCTCCGGGATGCCCACCCAACCCACTGGGCATGGAGGGCAGCTTGGGGCCTTCGGGTCAGGGGTTGGGAGGCTCGGTGGGCAGTGCTGGATGCTCATTCTGGGGACCTTCCACCCGTGCGTCAAAGCTGCGTCGAACGTCCCGAGATTTGAGTCGACCCTGTGTCGATCCTGAGTCGAACCTGAGTCGAGCGTGACTCGAGCGTGAGTCGAATTTGAGTCGAACTTGAGTCGATCTGATCCGTTAGGTGCGCCCCAGGAAGGTCCCCAAACGATCATCTCAGCAGTGGCAGGGGCGCCGCCAGGGGTGGCGTGACCCTCCTGCATCGTTTCCTGACGCTCCCGAAGCCCGGCGCGGTGCTTCTTTGTTTTCCACGACGCGGGGGGTTCTGGGTGGGCCGAGGCAGAGGCCAGAGGCCTCCTAGATGGGGTCCGCGTAGATGCGGTTGGATGATCGCGCTGCATCGCCAACGAATCGGCGATGCATCGGCGATGCGTCGCCCGACGTCGGGCGACGCCTCGGCGATGCCGGCGTGGAGAAGAGCGGGCTCCGCCTCGAGCCGCATCGTCGATGCATCGGCGATGCGGCGCGATCCTCCGACCGCATCTACGGCAGGTTCGTGTCGTGCCGATTTCTGCGTTGGTTCCTGACTCCGCGGGGATCGTTCAACCTCGAACGATCGGGCGCTTCCGAAACGTCAGCTCGGTCAACATCGACCGACTCTGAGTTGCAAGCGGCGGTCAAAGCTGAACGCCGGCGGCGGGGTCGCCGCCGGTCGACACGACGCGAACCTACCGTACTCGGATCCCATCTAGGATTAGGTCGGGCATGTCCTCCTACACGGGGACTTTGGGCGAATAATAAAAAATAATCAAAAAGATACAAACATACACTAAAAATGGTCCCCATTTTATTTCTGACTATTTTTGAAGATCCCTCCTGTAGAGGGACAGGCCCGACTTCAATCTACGAGGCCCAGGGAGGCGCCGCCAGGGGTGGCGCAGCCCAGCGCCGACCCACGAGATCCGCGCGGGCCGCCGCGAGCCGCCGCCTCGCGCCGCCTCGGGCTGCCGCTCGCGGCTGGCGCGGCGGCCAGACCGCCGCCGCCGCCGCGCTAAGTTGGCTGCGTGCGCGCCGCCTCCTCGGCGCGCGCCCGAGCCGCCTCCTCGGCGCGCGAGGCCCCCCGGGCGCGGGTGGCTGGCTGCTCCTCCCAGATTGTCCCTGGGAGGAGGAGGAGGAGGGGGAGGGGGAGGGGGAGGAGGGGGAGGGGGGGGGAGGAGGAGGAGGAGGAGGAGGAGCAGGAGCAGGAGGAGGAGGAGGAGGAGGAGGAGAGGAGGGGGAGGGGGAGGAGGGGGAGGGGGAGGGGGAGGGGGAGGGGGAGGGGCCAAGTTAGGTGCGCTCGCGTCAACATCTGACATCCTACCCCTCCCTCCCATCCCTTACCATGGCGCTGATTTTCTCTATCCGCGGACGCGTGTCGTAGCGGACCTGTGGCTCCGCGCGCGTGTGCGTAGGGGTGGTGGTGCGCGTGCGTGCGTGCGTGTGTGCGTGGTTGTGGTTGTGTGTGGTGTGTGGTGGTGGTGGTGTGTATGTGTGTGTGTGTGTGCGTGTGTGCGCGTGTGCTGTGGTGTGACGTGGTGTGGCGTCTTGGTGGTTTGGTGGTGGGCCAGGTGCGTACGTGCGTGATGGCGGTGGTGGTGGTGGCGGTGGCGGTGTGTGTGTGTGTGTGTG